GGACTCGTGTACACATACAGAAGTTGGGGGCTGAACAAATACCGTTCATGCAACCTCCTGGACAGAAGGCCACGCATTTTTCACTCTTGTGACTTCCAGGGGCTGGGGTGTATCCTATAAAAGATTAAATTCAATTTCAATTCATGTTTGTATTTATGAAAGTCTGAGATACTGTTGTGGAATTATGAATGAAAAATATTACGCAGTTCTATCAACAAGATGGAGGGTGGAGTATTACATCAATGTGAGTGAGAGTTCTGTAACTAAAATGTGAACTTACAAGATGTTGAAAAAAATATTCGCATCACATTGTTTTGTGATGCGAATGTGTGTCAATCATTCACCTTTGGAAAAAATAGAATTCTCTAGATTTTTTTACTCAAACAGTCCCAATGAAAAAGGAATCAAATCAATATTTCCAGTGTCAATCAGAAATATATTTCAAGCATTATTCTTATAATTCTGCAACTTTTATTGATTTTAAACCGTCATAAATCGAAAAATCGTTGTGTGAAAGCTATTTTCCGGATTTTTTGACAATGGGCTGCAGGTTTTTAAGCTTGACGTTATGTCTACTACTGCCCGAGTAGGTGCTCTAGTTGTTATTCCTGCAGAAATTACGATTTGCTATTTGACTCTGGTTTTCTATTATTATTGATGGGCGCCGCTCGGTGTCTCTCAATTGAATTACATGACTGTCTTTCTGAAACATTGAGGACAGGAAGCCAGATTTTGATAAAGTTCATTGCCTCTTCTTTTCTATTGAAATCATTGCTGAATTCCTTGGGTTAAATATCCATGGAAAATCATCATAAAATAATTAAAATCCACTCAAGAAAATACATGAAACTGGAAATGTTCCAAAGTCAACTTCAATATTCTAAAACAAAAACGTTCATTGTTCACAATTCCATCTTTTCATTCTCCAAGTTCATAGACATAAAAATTGATGCGATTTCAAGATATAGAAATATACAACAATCTCCAGATACGCAAACTCGCATGGATGCGCATTAAGATTTTTGCCTCAAGCAAAGTTGCTATAGTATTTCCAATACCAATTGGAACAGCACAGAGAAGGACATAGCCTCGACATAGGCGTCGGCATATTATTTTTCAGTGGTAGTTTTTCAGGTACTTATTCTTACAATCATAACAATTGATCACCCCATGAAAAAGTTGTCTCAACTGAATTTTGCCTCCAT